GTAATTAAATCAAACAAGTGACCGAAAAAGGAGGATTAATTTCAGCGTAAATGCAAAAAAAACTGATAAGAACTAGAAAGAAAATTAACTTTTAATGTTTCTGAGAAATAGCAAAGAAAAGGCGCCAGCATAGCAAATATTCACAGATGTTATCAGCACAAAAACAGAAATCATATAGTGACAAACTGAAATGGTCGAACCTGATTCATAAGTGGTGGAAATTCCTCGGAATACTCAAAGAGAACCACTTCCCCATCGAAGCCGGAGAGATCTTGGGGTGTTCGCATGAAGAAAATATCGCCGCCCCCAGCGGCCATTTTCTCTTCCTCGCGTTCCTTTGATTTCCTCTGAATTATCCTCGTAAGGTTGTTCACAGAAATGGGTGTGCTGAACTGAGACATCATTCCACGGGTGTACCTGAGAGAGAGCCCAAGAAAGAACAGTTCATTAAGCTTCGTAAAAACAGTCTTGTGTGAAGAATAAGATGATGCGTATGTCTGTAAAGCTCTACATTAGGTACGCCCAGAATTGTCTCAAAAAAGGTTGATTCTAAAAAAAGCACAAAGACGTCATTGCTTAACCCATCTGGGAGCTTCAGTTCTAAAATCCTGACACAAACTCCAAACATAAACGACACGAGGACTTTAAGAAGGCATAGGGGAAGAAATATTACCAGCGAACTATTCCAATCATTCAAACTTGCAAAAGTTATAGATGAGGCAAAAAAACAGCAACCAAATAATCCAAAATTAGATAAAGGGGACAAATGTGGATGAAATGGCACTGCTTACTGCTTGAGGGGCACACGGTGAAATTGCCTGAGACGGGAAGGAGTGTTGTAAGTGGGAAAGAAGGGTGGCCAAAGCTCAACAGCGGGTGTACTGTGTTGAAGCGGACCACAACGAGCAAGGTTTCCAAAGAGGCCACCGGAGCGGATGGCGTAGAATTCATCATTAGAGAGGTTGAGAGGGTCTTTGGGGGGTAGGCCCGAGGCAGCTGCCGCGACCGAGGCCATGTTCGCTGTCTCCTGATTTGCATCATCGCCACCCTCCGC